TTTAACACATCTTTGCTGAATAAAACCTTAATTACCCTAAACATTCGAACGGTAGTGTAAATATAATTTGGCAGCACAGAATGTCAAATTAAATATTCTGACCACTAATAAGATGGTAAAATCTCCATAATTCACAAAAGAAAGCATGAAAAAGGGCATATAAAAGAAAGTAAGCAAACACTAATCTGCACTGATGTTCATGGACAAAATATCCATTACTGGCCACAACAGGAGTTGATATTCACTCTAGAGAGTTAAATTTATCAGAGTTATTTGAACTGACCCCGGAGCCTCCAGCCCTGCAAGTGTTGTAATGTTAAATGTAGCGGTTACTGTTGCAAACTACTCTGTCCCAAAACCACTTGGGGCTGGTGAAATCTTGAGATGAAATATTTTGATACTATTCGTGTTATTAAAATATTTATTTTGTGGATGCATTGATCAATGGGTTTCATCTTTTGACACCTTTACCCTGAACATTGGGGTATTTTGGGGTCCAAACTCTCACGGTTTTATTGCCACCTGGTGGACCCAGAGGGTATAAAACTACAGCCCAAAAAGGCTGCAAACCATGTACAACCAGAATGTAAAACAGACTAGAACTAGTTTAACTATTATAGGAGTTCCATACAATAATAAAGCTAAGCTGTAGAACAAAACCAAGATTTAAACACACAAGAACTCTTTTAGGGGGGTTTTCTGTATTCTAGTCATCTACTACATTCCGGATCAGCCATATTGGGCAGTAGTAGTCTCTCTTTCTCTCTCCCCCGTCTGCAGACTGACTTCGATCCTCCCTCTTTATAATGCCCCCACATTGCTTACATTACTTATGTCTCACAATCTGACAGTAGCCTGCCATCATTCATTCTAATGCCTTATTTCAATGGAATTCCATTCTAAATTTCGCACAGAACGGAACTCTGTGATTCTCGAGATTTCAGACTAAAATATTGCTCTGCATTCAAACATTTTTTGAATTGCTACAGCACTGAACTGGGCTCGTATTGTGGCTGTTGCCATGGTGGCGTTCACAAGGAAAGCTGAAATCAAATAAAACGAAAATGACAGTACTGCCAATTTCCACATATTCGGAGCAGGAGGTAAACTTGAATATTTGAACAGCGGCCCTGTGATTTTTGGAGGTCTTGGCAGGCGCGACAGCAGGTTAATGAAATCTGGGCCTGTCGGAAAGCCTTTATCTCAAAAGGGCAAATCATGAGTACACACACGAAAAACGACGCGCTTATGCAAGCTTCTTAACACT